GGCTAAGTTTGAGCTCCTGGTCCATTTCCCTGGTTCTGATATTACAAGCATGAGCCAGGATTTTTAAAATTATAGGTGTTAGTGGAAATAAGAGAAACCAGAACCCTCATCCAGTGCTGTCGAGAATGGAAAATGGTGCTGTCTGGCAGTTCCTCAGAGGGCTAAGCAGGCTCAGCACACGATGCCATAAATTCCATACCAGACTATAGACCCAATAATAGTGAAAACATATGCCCACTTAAAACTTGCTCATGAGTTTTCATAACAGCATTATTTATAATACCAAAGCAGAAACATCCCAAGTACCTATCAATTGATAAGCAAAATTATTGTATACCTCACAATGGAAGAGTCTCTACCAAGGGTCAAGGAGATGGCTCAGCAGGTAAAGGTACTTGCTGTGTATGCCTGCGTTTGATCCCCAGAGGATAGAAGGGTAGGAGTGTCTCCCCAGAATTGTCCTCTGACCTCCATATGTGAGTTATGGTGTGCATGTGTCTACACTCAAACACATCACACACACACACACCAAAAGTAATAACAACAACAATAATGATTATTATTAATGATAACAATTATCTGGCAATAAATGATAAATTGTGGATACATATAAAATTCAACATGGTTTCACTTGTGGCTGACTCACAATACTGAATACACTATACATTCTCTGTGAGTTCAAGGCCAGCCTGGTCTACAAAGCTAGTTCCAGGACAGCTAGGGCTGTTACACAGAGAAACCCTAACTGGAAAAACCAAACCAAACAAAACAAAAGAGCAAACTTGAAAGTATGTGAATTATATCTTGTTATAGATAAAGCTGTTAAAGAACACATAAGAAAACTGGAAAAGAAGTATGGAAGGGATAACACCAAATAGTAAGTAGTGTTTCCTTTCCTATGGGCAAGTTTTAGGTGTTTCTGTTTTGTTTTTGAGACATCTCATGTATCTCAGACTGACCTTAAAACACACAGCTATGGTCTACAGAGCGAGTTCCAGGACAGCCTCCAAAGCCACAGAGAAACCCTGTCTCGAAAAACCAAAACCAAACCAAAAAACAAAACACACAGCTAAGGATGACTTGAACTCCTGTTTCTCCCGTTGTCTCTTCCCAGTGATGGGATTATAGGCATGTGACACTGTATGCAAGTCTAATGGTTTTCTTTGTTAATCTTAGATTATTTTTAGAAGGGTAAAAAAGACATGGGTGGCATTTGCTGGTCTCCAGCCTTTATTGCTAGAAGACATGTCTGTAACTTCACCTACCAGCTGACCTGAGTACCCACCAGACCAGGGAAGGCCAGGGGTATGGGTTTGGAGGAACTTTCCCTATGCATTGAAATGTGTTTCCAAGCCCAGCTTCAACTTCAAGACTGTTTGCTGGGCCAGACTGTGACGGAAGATATATCTGCTCTGATATGAGGCCCTGGCCAATCAGCCATTCCTGCCAGTTCTGACTATGCAGCTGCATGGTGGCTGCCAGGGCCAAGGAGCTTGGAGTTGTACAGTACAGCTGCAGCTGGAGGAAAGAAACTTGCCTTCTGCAATCTATAGACAGGGGCTAAAGGTTAGATGCTTGCCTAGCAAACATGAAGCCCAGGAGTCAATCCCCAACATGGCATAAAACTGGGCAAGCTGACACGTTTGTAATCCCAGCATTTGAGAGTTACAGGCAGGAGGACCAGGAGGTCAAGGCTAGCCTGGATTACATGAGACCCTGTTAAAATCATCATTTGGTGGGGAAATGAATTAAAATCAGCCTGGAAAGCTAGGCCTGATGGCACAGGCTATATTCCCAGATGCTTGGAAGAAAAATGTTTTGAGTTTTTTCTTCTATTCTCATACCACAATCACCACTGAAGACCTCTGGGATCCCCAGAATTGTTGGGGAATTCTGTTAGGACACAAATTTTTTTGTTTGTTTGTTTTGGTTTTTTTGAGACAAAACCTTGAATTAGCTCTTGTAGACCAGGCTGGTCTCGAACTCACAGAGACCCCCCCCCCCTGCCTCTGTCTCCCAAATGCTGGGATTAAAGGCATGCACCACCACCACCTGGCTTCTCTGTATCTTTTTTTTTTTTTTTTTTTTTTTTTTGATTTTTCAAGACAGGGTTTCTCTGTGGCTTTGGAGGCTGTCCTGGAACTAGCTCTTGTAGACCAGGCTGGCCTCGAACTCACAGAGATCCGCCTGCCTCTGCCTCCCGAGTGCTGGGATTAAAGGCGTGAGCCACCAACGCCCAGCTGCTTCTCTGTATCTTTTAAGTCAATTCAATTCTGAGCACAGTTTCCTGGAGACAGTGCGGGACAGAGCCCACAGTTCAAGGACCATGTCCCCACGACCATTCATTCTTCCTTCTATAGGTGTTAGTTAACAACCCCAAGGTTGTCTGATTGGCCCAGCAAGCAATTGGAGTTCCCACAATTCCTTCGTGTCGTACAATCAATTTACTGTCTGGCTCGCAGAACTCAGGGGAACACTTATGTCCATCATTTTATTACCAAGGATACGGATTAAGAGACACCCAGGTGAGGGAGGAGGAGCAACTTCGTGGTCCCCTCCAGGTGCATGGCCACAAAGGATTCTCTCTGACCTCTGCTCTTTCGGGTTTCTATGAACTCTACTGCTACACTGGGTGTGGAAAGCCAGCAAGGCCTGTCTGTCTAGATTCTTCTTGACTTCTCTGTGCAGAGTTCCTTCCTCCAGGGTATGGGGTATGGGGCAAGACCCCCTCATGCCACTGCTACTTTAGACAAGGTAGGTCAGACGATTTCTGAACAACCAGCAGCTCTGAGGCAGGGGTGGGGGTGGAAATAATAGGAGTTTCTGGGACCTGACTTAGGGAAAAAATTAAATTCAATTTTATGTCATCTGCCTTGGAGACAGAGTTCTGAGCCAGGAACTCTCAATGAAAACTTCAGCCAGGTGATAGTGTACATCTTTAATCACAGCATTTGGTGTCAGTGGCAGGTGGATCTCTGAGTTTGAGGCCAGCCTGGTCTACAGAGCAAGTTCCAGGACAGGCAGAGCTACACAGAGAAACACTGTCTCAAAAAAAAAAAAAACAAAACCATACAGATAGAGGGATTCTAAACTATGAAGGGTCTTTTCCCATGGCAACACAGGCAGGACATAAGGTAGGGATTGTACATTTAGCATATTCCTGTGCCTCCATGCGGAGCACTGGTAGAGAGCATCTAGAATGTTCTCTGATCATTTTATTAATATTTATTATTTACTTATTTTTGAGACAGGGTTGCAATATGTAGCCCTGATTGGCCTGGAACTTGCTATGTAAGTGGTCTGGCTTTAAACTCAGGAGACTGTTTTGTCTCTGGGACTAAAGGTATGTGCCACCATGCACAGCTATGACCTCATATTCAAAAAAGCAAATTATCTTCCCAAGTGAATGACATAACAAAAAACAAAAAAACAAAAACATTAGTTGAGAAGAAAGGAACTCAGCACACAATAGTCAAATGCTATCTTAAGACATATTCTGATCTGAAAAAAATAACAATTGCAAGAGGCTATCTTAGAGGAAATAACACCTTACAGCATGTAGCATTCAAGAATCTTCCAAAATCTGGGTCATAGCCATAGTTTATGAACCTAAGAAAAATTCTGTTCATAAGAAAAACCCAAGCACATCAGCCCTAAGATTTTGATGACTCTCTGACCCTAACAGAGACAGCTCAGGTGCGCACAACAGAAGACTACGAGAAATAATGGCTGGAGGCCTAGCTTTGGGAGCCAGACTGGGTCCATATCCTTTGTCGAGCCAGTCACTAAACCACTCTGGGCCAGTTTCCTTGGTAAAATGAGAATTTAACAAGTCACCCCACCCATGGGGCTTTCACTCAGCCTTCTAGTCATAGTAGCTCTAGCACCGGCCTGTATGCATTCATAGCTTCCGGTCAACCAAGTCCTCCCTGCCAGTCAAGCTGAAATTTCCTCATCTTAAAAAGACGACATTTTATTTTTTTAGCAGAGAGCATGACAGCACACTCCTGTAATCCCAGCATTTAGGAACCTGAGACAAGAGGATAGAGTTTGAAGTCAGACCAGCCTGGACTACACAGAGTAATCGGGCCTCAAAACCCCAAAACCTTAATCCCTCCGTCTAAGCGTTTGCGTGACACTCAGCTTTCTTGCTTCCTGTTTAAGGGTGAAGAGAAAGTACAGTCGGTATTTTGGGGGGCACATATACTGAGAGTCAAAAGAGTCCACTGCTGTGTCCAAGGCTGAGTAGCCAGAAGCAAGCCAGCCCGATCCATTTTCTAGATTTGGTCCCCAAACTGTGTTCTTAAGCATTCTGTGACAAGGCTCTTGATGAGCTTTTTAAAAACACGTCTTTTGAAAAGCACCTTTAAATTCCTAAGTGATGCTCAGTAGATGGGGAGGGGGAAGAGGGCTGAAGCTCCTGAGGACGGACGGTAACAATGTACTCTCCATGATGAATTCACAACATAACACCTTTCCACTCTCCACAGCAATCCTGACTAAATTGCCAGACCCATAGACCCCACCAGCTGCACCCTTAGTTTAGCCCCCATCCCTCCTTGGAGGGTAACACCCCATCTGGAGACCTAACTACTCATCTACCCGAAAGCTTGGTGTTCTCCCACAAACTAGCCCTAGTGCCCCAAGCAGGACCGCTCTCTCCCCAGGCTCAACAAAGGCTCCGAATTTCCACCCCACAGGCAGTCGTTCTTCCCTGGGAATCCGTGAGACTAACTCAGTTCTTATGGTCCCACCGCAAAGAAGGGACATCGGCCCAGGACTCTGGAAGTTACCTGTGGGAGCCAGGGGGTGCTAACATTGGAAACAGCTGGAGACCACCAGGCAGTATGAATCTCGAAACTAGATAGGAATCCCAGCAGAGGATGGAGAAACAAGAAGAGCAGTAAGCAGATGTTGGGTACAGGAGTGCTAGGGTTACACAGACACGGATCCCCAGCCCTGGAGCAGCCGCCCCCGACCCAGCCTGCGCCCCGCTCTACCTGCGCTGCTGGCTACGCTGCTCCGCGCTGGCCGCCTGCGGCGCATACAATGAGCCGCTCAGTCAGTGGTGGTTCTTCACCGGGGCCGCCAGGGCGGGAGCTCAGCCAGGAAGCAGCCAGTTGGCCCCGGGCACCACAATCCTCCCCAGACAGGGCCGTGGGGCCACGCCTGGGGATGGGGGTAGGGGGTAGCGAGGCCAGGAAGAGGGAGGACACAGATGGGCTTCAGAAACCACACTTCCCGCCGCCACCACCACCACCTCGGGCGGTGTGGATGATCAAGCCTGCTGGTACAGCCACCGCTCGGCCCACTAATGGACCATAAAATCTGTCCCCTGAGGAGAGAAGCTTCTGGTAGGACAAAAGGCCCTTGTGCAGGAAATTGAATCTTTATCTCGCCCCCTCCTCCGAGGGTGGCATCTTTGCAACTATCCAAACAGGCACATTGATTCCAGGAGGACCCGGCTGCCTTCTGGGCAACAGAGGACAGGTGGATTTTTGAGCAGGAGCTATCCCCTCCGGGTGCAAGCCTCAACACGGAGTTGCGGGCTTGATAAAAGGTCCAGATAAACACTGCACGCGTTTCAACAAATAAAGCAGATTTTTGCCTCTTACAAGTAACAGGGCAGAACCCAAGCATATGCAAAAGCTGGACTTTGTGGAGACCTACGAATCTGTGGTGGGGTCCAAGGCCCTGCTGGGGAGAGTGTCTATCAGTGCAGTCTTTCCAGGGTGCGGTTTGGCAAGATGAAATTAGGATCCTTAACCATGGCCACGGGCTTTCTTAACTAGTTTCTTAACTCTTTTCTAGACTCCTCTTAAGGAAATAAACCAACAAAGAAGATTTATATATAACGTTCAAAGACGCTGTATTTACCACAAGGAAAAAAAAGTTGCAAGGAACACACACACACACACACACACACACACACACACACACACACACACACACACACACACACACACAAAGACCAAAAAGCTCTGAACAAAATCCTGAAACAAAACAAAAAAACCCAAAACTGTGTTCTAAGAGAATGCCAGCCATTAACTTCTGAGTAAAGAACTTAGATGGCTGTTATTTTCTTTAAAAAATTTAAGTCAGAGTTCATGGTGACACATGCCGTTAATCCCAGTACTCAGGAGACAGAGGCAGGTGAATCTTTGTGAGTTCGAGGCCAGCCTGGTCTACACAGTGAGTTCCAGGGCAGTCAGGGCCACAAAGAGAAATCCTGTTTTGAAAACGAAAAAAACAAAAACAAAACAAGGAAAAAAACCAAAACAGAAAACCCCCTGGCTGAAGAGATGGCTCAGAGGTTAAGAGCACTGACCGCCCTTCCAGAGAACCTGAGTTCAATTCACAGCAACCACATGGTGACTCACGACCATCTGTAATGAGATCTGGTGCCCTCTTCTGGCCTGCAGAGATACATGCAGGCAGAATACTGTATACATAATAAATCTTTGTGGGTTTTTTTGTTTGTTTTTTGTTTTGTTTTCAAGACAGCCTTTCTTTGCATTGTTTTGGATCCTATCCTGGAACTCGCTCTGTAGACCAGGCTGGCTTCCAACTCACAGAGATCCTCCTGCCTCTGCCTCCTGAGTGCTGGGATTAAAGGCAGGTGCCGCTACCACCCAGCATAAATAAATCTTTTTTTTTTTTTTTTTGGTTTTTACGAGACAGGGTTTCTCTGTATTGTTTTGGAGGCTATCGGTCCAGCCCAGCCTCGAACTCACAGAGATCCGCCTGCCTCTGCCTCCCGAGTGCTGGGATTAAAGGCGTGCGCCACCACCGCCTGGCGCATAAATAAATCTTAAAAAAAAAAACAACAAAAAACCCAAAAAGTTCAACATCAGACTTGGCAGGTCATTCCTATAATTCTAGCACTTGTGAAACTGAGGCAGAAGGATTACCTGAAGTATAAGGCCAGACCCTGTTTCAAAAAAAATAAATTTCACTAAGGTTTATGTAATTTACACATTTTCTCCAATAAACAGGATTTACCTAGACAAAAATGTACGAGGGGCTGGAGAGATGGCTCAGAGGTTAAGAGCACTGACTGTTCTTCCAGAGGTCCTGAGTTCAGTTCCAGGCAACCACATGGTAGCTCACAACCACCTTGAATGAAATCTGGTGCCCTCTGCTGGCATGCAGGCAGAAGACTGTATACACAATAAAAAAAAATGTATGAAACTTATTTTCAAATGCATGGGTATGAAGAAGTAGAAGGAAGGAACACACACACACACACACACACACACACACACACACAGAGACTGAGAGAGAGAATGATCAAAAAGTGAAGCTTTGTTAACCTGGGCCTCACCTTACTCACACAGAAACCGAACCAGTCATTGGACAGAATCAGAGCCCTTTCCCTGTTTCCCCACGATCAGTAATTAGCTCAAACTCTGGCTCTCTGGCCCAATGGCATTTCTGTACATTTTCCATGATTTTTCCCTCTGTGTGACTCAGGCCCAGAACTACCCAACCAACATCTGATCTGAAAATAACCTGACACTCACCCAACACAGCTATAATTTTCCAGCCCTCATTTGCCATGTGGGATTGGCTGACCGGACTTTTGCCAAAGACCTAGTCAAAGCTCCAAGGTCTTTAGGCAGAGTATTGTCAGAACACAGCTGTTGAAGAATCACTTAGAAATGTGTGCAGTCTCTTTTCCCATTCTTCCCTACCGAGGTCCCCGCTTTTCAGAAGCCACAGGAAACCTCTTTTCCAGACATTTAATTAAAAACTTATGAAATATCATTGAGTTCTCTCTATACAAATTTTGCACGTTATAGGTTGATATACTGCAAAGTAGTCTATGTCTTTGGTCATCTTTTGGATCTTGTTACCCCCCCCATATATTCTGATCATGTGCCCCACCCCATCTCTTTATCTTTTTTTATTGAGACAGGGTCTCAAGTATCGAAGACTGGGTTCTAACTCAAGGATGGGCTTGACTTTCTGATCTTTCTGCCTCTACCCCCAGAATGCTGGGATTAGACTTGTGCCACCATGGAGTTTTTCTATGATGCTGGAGAAGGAATCCAGGGCTCAGTGCATGCAGGCAAGCACTCTGTGCTACATCTACAACCCTCTCACAACCTTTTTTTTTTGTTTTGTTTTGTTTTGTTTTTGAGACAGGGTTTCTCTGTGGCTTTGGAGGCTGTCCTGGAACTCGCTCTGTAGACCAGGCTGGCCTCGAACTCACAGAGATCCGCCTGCCTCTGCCTCCCGAGTGCTGGGATTAAAGGCGTGCACCACCAACGCCCGGCTCTCTCACAACCTTTTTGAAATTTAATTCAGAGACCATTTTTTTTTCATTTAAGTTTCCAGAAAAAGACACAGGCAATATAAACATCTGTACATATGAAGTCATAGAAACTAGTACCAGGGATATTTTTTTTTCTGCTTGAATATTTTGTTTCCAAAACTCTTATTCTGCTCAGTCTGACTGAAAGGTGCTCTGAAAGTCAGAACTGAATCTCCAAGGTAAACTAAGACATATACTGACGAGTGTGTTTGGGGCTAGACATGAGGCATGGGTGGTAGGGGTAGTAGGTATGTCTTTCCAGGGCTAATGACATGGTGGAGTCATAATCAGAGCCACCTGTCCTTTAAGACTGCACAATTGCTCAGCACAAGAATGAGGCCAAATAACAGGTTCTTTATGCAACACAAAAGCTTGTCCTGGCCATGTTCTATGCCCGCACTTCCTTAGATCAGAGGAAACTCTGATAGATGATCTGCTTAGCCCCATCTTTACTTGCTGCTCCTCATGCTTCCTCCAAAGCCTCCTGTCCGCTGAGTACCCTGTTCCTTGGTCAAGGGAACTGATAGCAACTGAGTTTTCGGCTCAGCCTCCAAATAGACCCTGCGGTTGTCGGGCAATGGAAGCCAACACTGTCACCAACCCCTCTGTCACCCATATCCTTTCAGAAAGGGGGAAGGCCACCAAAGAGGAGAAGTGGCAAGTGGCCAGGCTGTTGGGTGAAGGCCAGAGAGAAAGAACCTGTTGTTAGAAGCCTGGCATTCCCTGCTGCTGGGGGTAGGGGGACAGACAGAATCAAACAGCACTTCTGACTTCAGCCTCCATCCCAGGGGCACAGGGCCAGCCACAGGAAGGCAGGAACAGAGGGCTGTTCAGCTGAGCGGATGACAGATCCCCATCTATTAGCCTGAGGGCAGGTGTCTGGTCCTCTTGCCCTTAAGTTACCCAACGGCATGCACATGTTTCTGGGACTCTCGTTTTTTTTTTTTTAGGCTTTGCCCTGCCCCCTTCAGTTCTCCAGTTAAAGGCTTCAGTTCTGGAAATCATGGGTGTTGTGTAGACACCTAGGAGTAGAAAATACTAGGGACTTGCATATTTTTTGTGGATCCCTGAAGAAGCTAAAAAGTAGCTTAAACTAGAGGGGAGGAGTGCACCGGACATCCGTCCCAGTTCAAAAGAGGTAAAGTCTTTGACTGATCAGAGATGCGATGTATGAGCTGACTGAAACTTTCTCCGGAAATTCAAGGCCAAAGCAAAATCAAACCAAACCAAAAATCATAGCCTCTAGTAACCCTGTGACATTTCCCAAACTCATCTTCGTCGCCCTTGTAGATTTCCTTGGTGCTCTGAAGGCATAGGGTTTGTGCAGTGCAATGTTGAAAGAACCATTCTTCATCTCTGAAAACATGCAAGCCTGAAAGCATCCAGCAGGTTCTTTGCAGAAATGTTGTAAAATGGCGGTTCTCAGAAGCTGGGGATGAGGTAGCCAGGGTCCCTCAGAGTCTCCTGATGTGGTCTTCTCAGGATAAATGCTCTTTACCCAGCTCTCCCTGGGGCACGGCTACAGGAATGGAGGTCACTACTTGGTTCTGAAACACGAAAATTTTGATTCTTTCAAACACCCAGATGAAGATGAGCAGGATGCTGACATACTGAACCCAGGCAAACTTTATCATCTCCCAGAAGCCTGGCTGGTAAGTACAAAACGTTAAGGAGGCAATGGCTACATGTAAGAAACAGTTACCCCACTGGGCGTTGGTGGCACACACCTTTAATCCCAGCACTGGGGAGGCAGAGGCAGGCAGATCTCTGTGAGTTCAATGCCAGCCTGGTCTACAGAGCGAGTGCCAGGACAGGCTCCAAAGCTACATAGAGAAACTCTGGAAAGAAAAAGAAAGAGTTACCCCAAAGTTCAGGTCAGATGGGAAATAGAAAGAATATTTCAAATACTCTTCAGATAAAATGGATAACCAGAGATTATTAAGATATAAATATGGATAATTCTGACTCAGAAGAATTGCTTAGAAAGAAGCAGGAACAGGAAATGGATTTTTCTTTCCTGTGGGAATAGCAGTCATTTGTGTGGGGGCTACAGAGCTGCAACAATTTCCTATTTTGTGAGTTCCACATCTGTTCCTACTTGGGATAGCTAAGGCACCCTTCCTTTCTTAGTGGAAATGAGCCACCACTGATTGGCTAACAGAAAGGATATGAAATGACTTCCACAGGATATCGGATGACAGCATTGATTACAAAAGGAGCTTCGGCAGCCCTGCCCACCAGCCAGACTGGGTTGGGGTCACTCAGGAAAGTGGTAACTGCAACATAAACATTAATCATTAAACCAACATATAAGTAGTCTTTGAATACAGAGGGATGTTCTGCATTTCAGAATGCAAAGAAATAAAAAGAACAATTGAGTGTGCAAAGTTGCTTACACATTATGTAAAATACTCGTCAAAATACTTCTGCTACAATGTGTCAAAAAACTTGCAAAGAATCTAAGTGGTCTACCATTGCTGAAGAGCTAACTGAAGAAATACCATGTTTCTAGAAATAAATAGCGATTAAAAAGGTGTAGAAGCCAGGCAGTGGTGGTGGGAGTTTTTAATCCCAGCACTCGGGAGGCAGAGGTGGGTGGATCTCTGTGAGTTTGAGGCCAGCCTTGTCTACAGAGTGAGTTCTAGGACAGGTTCCAAAGCTAAAGAGAAAAAGTTCTGGAATTGCAAGCCTTCCAGTTGGGAAATGTCTATGGGTATCATCTATAATGCCTTGCTGCCAAGAAACAGTTTTGATGCCTTTAGGGAAAATGTTAGCCCACCAACCAGCCTGGTATGCTAAATTGAGCATGGGGATGCTCCCCTAGGGAACAAATATTTTATCTATGGTCAAAATGGCCGGTGCTTCTCTTCTAGCAGGCTTGTGGACTGCCTGACACACGTAAGCCATAGCTGTCTGGAGATTGAGGATAGTAAATTGGCTTTTTTAAAACAATAGGTGTACTATGAGGGGTAACTCAATTAGGCTTAAATACACATGAATAAGAGGAAACCAGCTAAACCAGTGATGAGATTAAAAAAAGGCAAGAGATTGCTCACTTGCTAGGCTATGGTAGGTGGCAAGTGGGAAAACGGCTTTGGAGACAGCACACAGAGGACGAGTCCTGGCGAGCCCATCCACCTCCTATCACCGAGTCCCCACTGGGTTTACCATTTTCATCATGAAAAGCATTCGAGTTGTTTGTTTTCATGGACCCCACAACCTGGGAAGTCTGAGCAGAGGCCCAGTGGCGTCTACTGGTAACTCACCATTCCTTTCCTGATAGGTGGCGACAATGTGAGTGAGGTCGTAGTCCTGAGCAAAAGGACTAGTCCCATTGATCACAGATACCTGGGGCAAGGCAGGAGGACAAGCTATGAGCACTCCCCTCTCCCCCTCCCTCCCACCCAGGCTCAATCCTGGAGACCACCCTAAGCCCAGAAACCATACTTATTCTTGTGATCTATTTCTGTTTCAGTAATCTTTTTCCCCCCATTTTTGTTTTTGTTTTTCGATAAAGGGTTTCTCTGTGTAACAGCTCTGGCTGTCCTGGACCTCCCTCTGTAGACCATGCTGGCCTTGAACTCACATATCCACCTGCCTCTGTCACCTGAGTGCTGGGATTAAAGGCGTGTGCCACCACACCCCCGGCTTCAGTAATCATTTTTTAGAGTTTCATTTTTATTATTTATAGGTGTGTGTGTGTGTGTGTGTGTGCGTGTGTGTGAGTGTGTAAACATGCACATGTGAGTCAGATGTCCATGGAGGCCAGAGGCATTGGATTCCCCTGGGGTTAGAGTTAGAATCGGTTGTAAGCAACCTGAAGTAGGTGCCTGGAACTGAAAATCTCTCCAGTCCTGTTTCAGTGATCTTTTCTTCAGGGGTGAACAAACTCTTCTGTAACAATTTAAATCATTTTACTCTCAATTTTTCCTTTTATGGTGATAGAAATAAGGGCAATGCCCACCTATGACAGGTTTCATCTCACACACATACACATGCACACACACTCCTGAGCACACATTATTGCACACTCCTGAGCACACATGCATGCACACACACTCCTGAGCACACATGTACACACACTCCTGAGCATGCAGGCACACACACTCCTGAGCACACATGCATGTACACACACTCCTGAGCACACATGCATGTACACACACTCCAGAGCACACATGCACACACACACACACACACAGCAGAAGGACCCCTGCATAAGGCTAAATGAGAGTCTGGAGAGCTGGTAGGTGGCTAAATGTCCCCCCATGTGTCTAGGTTGGTTTTTATATAAAAACAACAGTTTTCAGGGCTGGAGAGATGACTGAGAGGTTAAGAGCACTGGCTGCTTATCTAGAGGTCCTGAGTTCAATTCCAAACAACCACATGGTGGCTTATAACTATCTATAATGAGAACTGGTGCCCTCTTCTGGTCTGTAGGTGTACACGCAGGCAGAACACTGTATACATAATACACAAATCTTTTTTTTTTTTCTTCCAAGACAGGGTTTCTCTGTATTGTTTTGAAGGCTGTCCTGGAACTAGACCAGGCTGGCCTCAAACTCACAGAGATCTTCCTGCCTCTGCCTCCCGAGTGCTGGGATTAAAGGTGTGTGTTGCTAACGCCTGGCAATACACAAATCTTAAAAAAAAAGTTTTCCTCCCATTTTTGTTCTAGGAAAACAGGTTGTGCTAACCATGTAGTAGCCTTAAGTATGTTCCCTCCATTTCTAATCCTGTTGGCGTATGTCATGGCTGTAGTGCTCTTGAACAGACAATACTGAGGGCTGAGCCAGTAGGTGTCTCAGGAAACCACCATGGTGACTGAAAAAACATGACATGTAAAAACCTCTTTTTTATTTCTGTTTGAGATAGGGGTGTTGCTCATTTACACCGTGGAGATTGAAAAACGTGACATATAAGCTTCTTTTTTTTTAATTTCTGTTTTGAGACGGGGTGTTGTTCAGTCACCCTGGCTTCAAGTAAGTGATCCTCCCACCTCGGTGTTCCAAGCAAACGGATTACTAGGGCAGGCATGCCACCACACTCATCTGTAAACTTTGAGCTGGCATATGTCACCTGTTCAGTACATAGTGACTACTAACTTTTAAAATGTATTTACATAGACATTTTATGAGATCATTTGGAAGATGTGATGGTTGATCTTGATGGTCAAATTGCTTGACTTGAGCGACACCTGGGAGATTTTAGGAGAACACACATCTGATGGATTCAAATGTGAAGAGATATTGGGTGCTTTGGGGGAGAGGAACTGTTGAAGGTGGATCCTTGGAAGAAAAAGGCACTGGGAACTCATCCTGGGGCTGCATCTTGCTCTGGCCCTGTCTGCTCCACTCTGCTTCCTGCTGACCTTGCTGTGAGAAGCTCTTTACCCCCCTCTCTCCCACCAGAATGGACAAAAACCTCTGGAATCATGAGCTAAATAAATCTCTCCTCCTTTAGGCTGATTTGTCAGGTGTTTGGTAGCAGTAAACAATAAACTAACACAGAATACATTTTGAAGGTGATTACCTGAGAGCAGCAGACAAAATTAAGTTCTTTAGTAAGAGCATTTCCTCTCTTTTAGGGTATAAGCCAAAGCGTGTCTTTTGTACATTTTTAAAACATTATTTTTTATGTATATGTGCTTTGCCTGCCTGTGTTTCTGTGTACTATGTGTGTGAAGCACCTGATGAGGCCAGAAGAGACTGTTGGATCCGCTGAAGGTGGAGTTACAAGCCACCTGGGTGCTGGAAATCAATCTTGGGTCCCCTGGAATATCAGTCAATGCTCTTAACCACTGAGCCAGCTCCCCAACTCCCTTTCTACATTTTGAAAGACTTCATGATAGGGCTGGAGAGACAGAGTTCAGTGGTTAAGAGCACTGGCTGCTCTTTCAGAGGACCTGGGCTTGGATCCGGCAATGCACATCTATGGTGCACACACATACATTTTGGAAAAACACTCATACACATAAGATGATCTAAGCTTATTCCTAAGCTTAAATTTCTCTTCCTTCAAAGGTGTGATAAACATAGGAACGGAGGAGCTACACCCCAAGAAACATCCTTACGTTGTATCTGACATCCAGGCCTCGGTAGCTCAGTGGCTGCTTCTGCTGCAGCCTCAGGTCACCGTTCACATGTAGCTGTGACCCGGGGACAGCAAAGGAAGACTGAAGGAACGCCATGCTCTGCATCACGAACGTCGACATCCTCTGAAATCATTAGAAAGAGAAACGCCATTGTCTGGTCTGAAGAACCTGGAGGAGTCACAAGCCACCTGTTCGCAGCCGAAGCTGATGGGCGTAGCACACCTGGGGTAGCCCACACAGGAACCTTTTTACCCAGAACAACTCTGACCAGTTAATAGTTAATCAAGTAATTTAATATTGCCCCCAATGAAAAGTACTCAGTTTGTCTGTGTTAAATCCCCAACAGTATTCCACGAGCCATCTGCGGCGTGGCGCTCCCTAGAAAGGGGAGGACTCGGAGAGGATGACTCACATGCAGCTGGTAGGAGAAGGTCAGGATGAGCTGCACACCGAGAATGTGCTCTGTCGCTTGCAGGGGAAGTTCAAGTTTAAAATGTAGAACATCCATTTTCCCATCCTGGTTCCTGTCTTCTTCTCTGCTCTACAAGGCCAAGGAAAGAGATTTACTTTTTTTTTTTTTTTAAATCAAGACAAGGTTTCTGTGTGGCTTTGGAGGCTGGTCTGAACTAGCTCTCTATAGACCAGGCTGGTCTCGAACTCACAGAGATCCGCCTGCCTCTACCTCCCAAGCTCTGGGATCAAAGGTGTGTGCCTTCACTGCCCAGCTAAGATTTCCTTTTTTTTTTATTCCCAGCAGAGGCAGGCAGATCTCTTAGTTCAAGGCCACCCTGGTCTATAGAGTGAGTTCTAGGACAGCCAGGGCTATACAGAGGAAACCCTGACTCAAAAAGAACAAAAACAGAAGAAAAAAACCCGAAATAGTTATTTTATTCGTGTATATGTGTATCTGTGAATATGCATATGCACATGTGTGTGCCTGTACAAGACAGAAGACATCATTGGATACCCTAGAGCTTGAGTTAAAGGTGATTGTGAACTGCCTGATGAAGGTTCTGGAACTTAACTTGGATACTCTGCAAGAACAGTATGTACTGTTAATCACTGAGCCATGTATCCAGCCCCCAGAGAGAGAACTGTACATTTTATATTTTTCTTTGCTCAGCATGCTCCTTTTCATTATAAATCTGCATGAAGTGAATACTAGTAACCACACAACAGAGGCCATACTAGGCTGTTTTGAAATTTCCACCACCAAAGTTGTAATCCTTAACTCTTCAATTTAGACTCTGGCAGATTTTTCGGTCAAGGACAGAGAGCAGCCACATTCTTTGCCAAAACATCACAAGAGCAATCTCTAGACCACATACTAATATCCCTTTCCTCTGACACCTCTTGAGGCAGGCTCCTGTAGTTCAAATCCCCCAGAGTCTTCCATGCTCCTACTAATATGGCCCATTGAGCTCCACTTAAAGCATTTCACTGCTTTCCTAACCCAAAGTCCACATTCCTCCAAACAAAAACAAGGTCAGGTCTATGACAATAATGCCCCAGTCCCTGGTAGCAACTTTTGTCTTAGTTTTATCGCTGTGAAGAGACACTATGACCCAGAAACACTTATAAAGGAAAAACATTTCATTGGCTCTGAGCTACAGTTCAGAGGTTTAATCTATTATTGTCATGGTGGGAAGCATAGTGGCATTCAGGCAGACAAGGTGTTGGAGAGGCAGCTGAGAGTTTTATATCCGAATTGTCGGGCAGCAGAAAAAGAACAAAACACTAGGTCTTGCTTGAGCTTCTGAAACCTCAGAGTTTGCCCCCAGTAACCACTTCTTCCAACAAGGCCACACCTACTCTAACAAGGCCACACCTCCTAGTAGCACCACTCCCTATGAGCCTACGGGGGCCATTTTTATTTCAACCACCACAGACCACCTCTTGTACATTAGAGCTGGACAGGAAGATAAAGACCACACTTTTCAGTTTATAAGAGCAGAGGGGCCAGGAGAGAACTAACAGGAGGACGCAGACTCCAACAGGGTGTGAGAGGGAGAGAGAACTCATTTCACTTGATCTTTACTGTAAGAGTCGAGCCTCAGACAGAGAGCAAGTGCTCTCCACAGGTATAGATAACGAACTGTAGAAAGGAAGTCAGGCAGTTTATCAAGGGCACAGTCTAACTTGATTTAAGGTTGGGTTTTTATTGTGTTTCAGCCTTCTGGCAAATAAGATCAAGTAGAGATTAGTGCTAAAAAGAAATCTGAATTAAAAACTCCTAAACTGTCCGGGCTTGGAAAGAGAAAGAAAGATAACAAAACAGAATAGCCAAGCAGAGTGGGACGCACTGTAATCTCAGTTTAAGGGAGGCTGAGGCAGAAGGAGCACTACACATTTGGAGGCCAGCCTGGGCTACATGGAGTGCAAGGTCAGCCTAGACTACAGAGTGAGACCCTGCCTCAACAAAAACAAACAAACAAAAATAAGCACTGGGCATGATGGAGCACACCTGTGATCCCAGCACGTGGAAGGTGGAGACAGAAGGATCAGGAGTTTAAGGTCACCCTCAGCTACATAGCAAGTCGAGGCTAGCCTGGGCTACACAACACCCCTTCTACAAAAACTAATAAAGAGGGAGTAGTAAACCTGAGAACTTCGAGGAGGAAAAATAAGTCAATTGTCTGATTAAAGAAAACTGAATTTTGGGGTGCAGCTGGGACTGGCTAGTTCACCTGCTTCTCCTTTTTTAGAGAGCAGCCCATTAGACTCCTGAGGTCCCTTTTGTGGGAGAGATAAAGTGTTACTGAAGTGAGAATCTGCTGTTTTATGTTGTGAGAAAAATACAATGAGCCAGGGTAATCTCAGCACTTGGGAAGCATAGGCCGGCGGATCTCTGAGTTTGAGGTCAGGCTGGTCTACAAAGTGAGTTCCAGGACAGCCAGGGCTGTTATACAGAGAAACCCCATCTAAAAAAACCCCAAACAAACAAACAAACAAAACAAAAAATCAAAACAACAACATAACAAAACCCAAACAAATACACACACACAAAAAAAAAAACTCAAAAAAAAAAAAAAGAAAATACAATGAAAGGGAAGGGTAAGGATATACATCATGTGAATGGAGTTGCAAGTTTAATGTTGGTTGAAAAACATGTTTTGTAGTTTACAACAGATTTAAGAAACAGGAACTTATTCTGTAGACTAGGCTAGCCTTGAACTCACAAAGATCCCCTTTCCTCTGCCTCCTGAGTTCAGGGATTAAAGGCATAAGTCACTACTGCCCACCTAGGAACTTATTCTTTTTTTACTTATTCTTTTTTTTTTTTAAAGATTTATTTGTTATGTATACAGTGTTCTGCCTGCATGTGTGCCTGCAGGCCTGAAGAGGGCACCAGATCTCATTACAGATGGTCATGAGCCACCATGTGGTTGCTGGGAATTGAACTTAGGACTTCTGGAAAAGCAGTGAGTGCTCTTAACCTCTGAGCCATCTCTCCAGCCCGGAACTTATTCTTGATTAAATAGAAACCTTAATTTGAAGCCGGGCGTTGGTGGCTCACTCCTTTAATCCCAGCACTAGGGAGGCAGAGGCAGGCAGATCTCTGTGAGTTCAAGGCCAGCCTGGTCTACAGAGTGAGTTCCAGGACAGCCTCCAAAACAATACAGAGAAACCCTGCCTTGAAAAAGCAAAAAAAAAAAAAAAAAAAAAAGAAACCTTAATTTGTGGGGGCTGGAGAGATGATTCTGCAGTTAAAAGCACTGGCTGTTCTTCCAGGAGTCCTAAATTCAATTCCCAGCAACCATATGGTGGCTCACAGCCATCTCCAGTGGGATCTGATACCCTCTTTTGTCGTAAAAGTGGACATGCAGATAGAGCACGTATAAATAAATAAGCAAACAAATAAATAAATAAGCCTTTTAAAGAAGGAAAGAAACCTTAACTGGCAAGGACTCAACACAGGACAGTCATTTATTCCTTAACTACAAACAGAACCCTTAACCTGCACAGGAACTTGTTTTTAACTACAAACAGAAACCTGTTTTGGTCTCACAGGAGATGGAGAGTAAACTCATCAGTCAAGAGCAATGTGTTGCTCTTCCAGAGGACCTGACTATGGTTCCCAGTACACACATTGGGTGCCTCACATCCACCTGTAACTGTAGGTCCATGGAATCCAATTCCCTCTGTCCTTCATAGGAACATAGGAACTTACACTCATGTGAAGATTTCCACATAGGTGTACACACACACACACACACACACACACACAGAGCAAACAATTTTAAAATAATAGAGCCAGTGAGATGGCTCACTTGGTAAAGATCCAAGCCTAATGACTGTGTTTCATGCTCAGGAAGACAAATAGACACATAACAGCACTAGGTAATTGCTTAGTGACACAAAGAAAACTGAAGCAGGCTAAAATGGGAGAGTGGAGAGGGTGGAAATTAACAGAAATGTCTACGGGAAGTGTCTGGGATGACCTAACTCCTGGCACCCCGCCAGTAGATGCTCAGGACTATCTGGGACTGGGTGGAGGGCGGTCCAGGCTAACCAAGGGTCTTTGTGCTGAGTGTGAGGGGCATCAGGTCACTTGGACACTGAGGAAGGCTGAGGAAGAAGAGGCTCCTTGCATACGGATGAGTCAAAGCTGGCTTTCAATAACATACTTCTGCCAGCAAGGCTTCATATTTATTGTTTGTTTATTTATCTGTTTATCTATTGTCTCATCTTTTTATTTTTATTAATTTATTTTTTACAGTCCAATCCCAGTTCCCCCTCCCTCTTCTCCTCCCGCCCCCCCCCCCAACTTCTCCCCTACTTCCCATCTGCTTCTCGGAAAGGGTAAGGCTTCCCCTAGGAAGCTTACTAATTCTGTCCTATCATCTTGTTGAGGCAGGACCAGAGAAGCCAGAACCCTTTTCAAGAAACAGATGGAAGCAGATGCAGAAATCCACAACTAACCATTGGGCCAAGCTCCTGGAGTACAATCAAGTGAGGGATGAGCAAAAAATATGAACAAGGGAGTCAAGACCATGATGGGGAAACCACAGAATCAGCTGACCTGAGTCAGTGAGAGATCACTGACTCTGGTCTGACAAATAGGGAACCTGCATAAGATTGAACTAGACTCCCTTAATAGAGGCTCTTCCAGAAGACCCAAGTTCAATTCCCAGCACCCACATGGGGCTTACAACCATCTGTAACTCCAGTCCCAGGGGACTCATTGCTGGCTTCTGAGAACACTGCATATACATGGTGTACAGACATACATGTGGGCAAAACACCCACACACAAACAAATATATTTTTTTGTTTTTTAAAGAGTAGGCAGGGCTGGAGAGATGGCTCAGAGGTTAAGAGCACTGACTGCTCTTCCAGGGGTCCTGAGTTCAATTCCCAGCAACCACATGGTGGCTCACAACCATCTACAATTCAATCTGGTGTCCTCTTCTGGCATGTAGGCAGAACACTGTATATGTAATAAATAAATAAATCTTAAAGAGTAGGCATTCAGATAGTTAATGCCGCAACAATAATTTTAGCTCAGTTCCTAAAATCTGACCGGTATCTGGTTAAGAAA